TCATGCTTAGCATTCGATGAGAGAAGCGCCTCCTCCTCCTCCTCGCATCCATCCCTGCTGGGCATCTGGGTGCCTTGCGCTGCTGTAGCTGCTTTGCGACGACGGAAGAGGGGCCCTCCAACGAAGGTGGGGAAGCATACCCCTCTGGCTGGCCCCGGGGGGGACGAAGCCTGGACCTGGCATCGGCGGCACATCGCCAACCGGTCGGCGAGATATGCCCTCGATAGCGGCTCCGCATGCTCCTAGGCGGGTTGAGCTATCGGACCGCCTGCTGCATTCTACCCCCACTGGCGGCGTGCACAAGCGGGCAGGGGGGAGGGGGGAAGGCTTCTTAGAAGGAGGCTGCTTCTAAGAAGGCGTCGGCCTTACATATGTAGCTATGGTTCACGAAGAAGCAGCCTCCTTCCAAGAAGCCTCCCCCCCTCCCCCCTCTCCCCCCCTCTCCCCCCCCCTTCTGCGCGTGGCCGACTTGATCGCCCGCGCTGGGGTCGCCGCCGCCCAGATGCGGCGCGAGCCTGGCGCAACTGTCTCCGCAACCCTGCGGGTGCCCTGGGCCCCTCGGGGGGCCGGGGCCCAGAGCACGGCGGCCGTCGCTGTCCCCGCCGGACCGGGCCCACCGACCGTTCAGACAAGAGGCCCTCGGGCCCCTCCTGGTGTCCGTCCTGGCCCGCTCTGTTCGAGGGGAAGAAGACTCGGAGATCCGCGCGGCCCGCGCCAGGGGCCCCCCCAGCGCGCGGATCCGAGAAATCCGCGCGGAGCTCCGAATCTTTGCGTTCGCCTGCCATCCTTGCTCGTTCCCCGATGCTCCAGGCGGATCTGGCCGTGGCGACGAGAAGCCTCCGGGAAGCCTGGAGATGCGAGGCGGGGATTTCTCCACGTCCACCGCCTGGGAACCGACGTCCTGGTGCCCCAGCGGGCGGTGGGTATGGATATACTCTGGCCCCCGGGGGGCCCGAATATACCCACGTCCGCCGCCTGCCGAGGTCCCTGAAACAGGACCCTCCAGGCGGTGGTCGTGTATACACTCCCGCCTCGGAGGAGAAGACGAGAGACAAGATCGCCGGGGAGGGCCGCTGAACCTCGACCGGCCCCCCTCCGAGTTTTGACCGCCTGGGGGGGCGCGCGCCTGCAGACGAAGGCCCGCCTGGGCAGGCCGACCGCGCAGCCGCCGCTGGTGAAGCGGAGCATCGTCTCGAGCAGCTCCCCGGCGCGCTCGCAGGCGTCCTCGGGGGAGGCGGACGACCCAGAGAGCCAACCGTCTTGCAAAAATCAAGGCGGAGGTTTTTCGCAACTTTCGGCCTCCAGGGGCCCCCTTCCGGGCCCTGGGACCGTCCAAAAACGACTCAGGATGACGAGCCAGTTCCAGGGAATCGGAAGAGACTTCCGGGGACCCCGCATTGAAAAAATCACGCCATCGGATCTCTGGGGAAGGGGAAAGATCCTGGGCGGCGCGCAAGGAGCCGGGTCGGCTACTGTCAGGCCACTGCCACAACATGCGGCATGCCCGGCCGGTCTGGCCAAAACGTGCATATGCCACATTCGCAATCGACTGCAGCAGCAGTGTCCCAGAGGGGGACAATGAATTGAGCTTACACCTCTTCTCTCGAGGAAAGCCAGGGGTGATTTTTATTCTCGATCGCCGCTGTGCTCAACGTCGTGAGGAGCAGGAACCGATCACGCAAATATCGCAATCTGGCTATAGGAAGTCTGGCCATCATGATAGTTATGGTCTGCGCATCTGAAGTTTGCCAGCTCTTCATGATGTACCAACCCTCGTAAGTGCCCGACGTCGAAGCAGCGAACCAGCAGGCGATCGGAAATGCGCATGCGTGCTGCCCCCAACAAAAAGACAAAGATGTGATGAGATTGATGAGATATCACTGCCTGGCAAAGCTGCGTGAACATCGAGGCATGGCGTGCGCTTGTGGGTTCGACCTGCCTGAGCCATGGCCTGAGGACTCGCGTCAAACACGCACAATGAGCGATGTGCACCTTCACCCGCCGTGCCTCGCGTTGGGGGAGGCACGAGGAGGAGGACGAGAGCATCCACGAAAGCGCAAGACAGTCAGACGCATCGGGATGGAGCAAACAGAAACCACGGCGCCAATCCCGAGCAGCCGGCGCATCTGGGCACGCCCAGCACACGGGCGCGGCGTGGAACGCGACGGACCTGAGCCTCTCAGACAGAAGTGAAGCACACGTGCGCAGCAATGCACGACGAGACTGTGACGACGGTGCTGCGACTCCGAGCTGCGCCATCAGTTCACTCTGCGTCCTTCGGGAGTCCTTCCAGCCGGCGCCCGCGCGATGATGTGCACCACCTCCCAAAGCACGCCCTCGCCCGAGACAGGAGAGAGAAAGACAGAGGGCGCTGGAGTGAAAGACAAAGAGAGACAGAGAGCGGCAGAGAGCTCCACCGCGGAGCCGCTCCTCGTCGCCGATGGGCAGCATGCCCTCGCTCGCGCACGCCCCGCGGACCTCCCGGAGCTCGTGCGGCCCGCTGGGAGCGCGCGGTTTCCCGGCCAGCGTCCGGCCCTGACGTCGGCCTGCATCGAGGCGCGACCGAAGTGCCCCCCGGGGGGGCCAGCGGGCGGATCGGCTGCCCGGGCCATCGCGCGGAGGCTTCTCGGGCCGGCGGCCAGAAGAAGGCGGGAGTGGGCCGGCGGCCTTGCGGGGGTGAACAAACCTCCCTTCAGTAAACCACCCTCTAGTGAAAACGGACTGGGACCGAAACCGACGGACCTGGACCCGCAAAAATAACGGCCGTGACGCCCTCTCGCGAACCGAAAACGGCCAATTCACTAATCGTCGTGCCAGGGCAGGAGGTCTATCAACCTCCGAGCCTTGAGGCATCAGCACAGGCAGAAGCTTGGCAGAGGCCACAGGAGAACCAAGGTGGGGATGCAGCCCACGCTAGGGAAAAAAGGCACACGAATCTGGTGGACCTCACAGCCCACGGTGCTGCACGCAGCCAGGGCCCACAAACACCACCACCCTGCCTGCGCTGGGCTGCTGATTTCTTCTCGGCTGTGATCTACAATTGACTGGTTTCCTGTTTTCCCGTATGTTCACGGTTTTTCCCAAAGACAACGCTTGCACTCTGGGGCTGTGGGGCTCTTGCATTGGAGGCCAGTCCACAAGAAACCTTCCACAAGAAACCCAACCCTGAGACCCCAATGCGTCCCTTGACTTTTGGTGTGGGAGCGTCACGCTCTCCATCGCAAAACCATAGAAAAACAAGAAACCCGAGGCACCCTGGAGGCAAGCAGGGCGTTTCTTGGCATGGGTCTCCACTGCACTGCAACAGAAAGACATGGCCAGCCGAGAGGCCCCGGGTTTGCGCCTGGTGGGCGTCCGTGGGAGCGCGCCCCGTGTCGGCCGGGAGGAGGTCCGGGTTTGCGGGTGCCGGGCGCCCGTGTGTACCTCGTAGGCGCCTCGTGTCGGCTGGGAGGTCCAAGCTCTCTCGGCTAGAAGGCAGCCGGGGGCGCGCCTCGCGTTGGCCAGGAGCTCCAAATGTTCGGCTGGTGGGCGCCCAGAGGCTCCTCTGAGGGCGCCTCATGCTGGCTGGGAATTCTGGGTCCACCCAGCTTGCGCCAAATAGCTTGCGCCACATGGATTGCACCACGTGGATTGTGCCACAGAGCTTGCACCACATACACATCTTACACCACAGCTATTCTCCTTTCTAAAAGAAGAATAAACTCTACCCACCCCGGAGTTAACGGTACACCTTTTCGTATCGCAATTTACATATGATTCTGCACACTCGTCCATCCTAAATATGAACTTATACTGACCCAGCCAGGCCGGTATCACTCACCCCGCCATCCTCTGCAACAAATACTATGCGCGCACTCTCGTTTATCGAAAGCCATAAGCTTTCACGAATCCCTTGCAAACAATGGGACCAAATGCACACGCGCGCGTCGTCGCGCGCGCATGCCGAAATTCTTCACAAACCTTCGGTTTCGGAAGGATTTCAAAATCGTGTCCAAAAAATACAAAAACACAAGGTTCGCAACACGGATTTTCAACAAAAGCGTGCGCGCTTATGCGTCGTCGTCGTCGCCGTCCTCCCTCCTCCCTCGTCGTCGTCGTCGTCGCCGTCGTCGACCTCTGTCTTTCCTCGTCGTCGTCGTCTTGGCGTCGTCGTCGTTTCCGTCGTCGTTGTCGCCGTGGTCGTCCTTCCTCCCTCGTCGTCTTCGTCGGCGTTTCGTCGTTGTCCTTCCTATTTCGTCGTCGTCGTGGTCGTCGTCTTCCCTCCTCCTTCGTCGTTGTTGTCGTCGCCGTCGGCGTCCTCCCTCCTCCCTCGTCGTCGTCGTCTTCGTTGGCGACGTCGTCGTCGCCGTCGTCGTGATCATCGCCGTCGTCGGCGTCGTCGTCGTCGTCGGCGTCGTCGTCGTCGGCGGCGTCGTCGTCGTCGGCGTCGTCGTCGTCGTCGGCGTCGTCGTCGTCGTCGGCGGCGTCGTCGTCGTCGTCGGCGTTGTCATCGTCGTCGTCGTCGTCGTCAGCGTCGGCGTCATCGTCGTCGTCGTCGTCGTCGGTGTTGTCGTCGTCGTCGTCGAAGTCGTTGGAGACGTCGTCGGTGTCGTCGTAGTCGTTGTCGGCGGGCGTCGTCGTCGTCGTCGTTGTCGTCGTCGGCGTCGGTGTCGTTGCCAAGTGCCATTTGGTACCCACTGTCACGGTCTTAAGAGGTCTTGCGACCAAGTTGTGGGTGGGAGGGTGGGATGTTTGCACGAGCAGTGGAGAGGACAGCTTCAAGTTGAGCAAGTGATTGATTGCACAACATAGCTTGCACCACATATGATGCACAACACATGTTGCACCACAGTGTTTGCACCACACAACGTTCATGACATAGCTTGCACCCCATAGCTTTCACCGCGTAGCTTGCACCAGATATTTGGATAAAGTAAATTGCACCACATAGCTTGCACAACATAGCTTGCACCACAAAACTTGCACAGCATACATTTGCCAAACACAGCTTGCACCCCATGCGTTCCACCACGCAGCTTGTACCACATATGCTGCATAACATAGCTTGCACCACACAGCTTCCATCGCATAGTTTGCAACACATAGCTTGCATCACACAACTTGAATCACATAGCTCGCACCACACATCTCACTTACACCACACATGTTGCATCACACATCTTGCACCATATGGCTTGCACCGGACAGCTTGCACTGCGCAGCTCGTATAACATAGCCTGCACATCCACAGTGCAATATACTATCTCTCGCGCAAGCGTTACAACACGTGCATTTTATGTGTTCCAACTTCGCGTGTTTCTCTTCACTTCGCCGCCAGACAACCCGCTGTTGGATACTTCTGTCCAGGGCCAAATGTAGAAAAAAACAGTCCAGAGGCCACGCGCTGGATGCGCGTGCGGAAGCCTGGAGAGCCTTCAAACTGTAGGTTCGACGTCTACTCTCGGAGGCCCCCGAAGTTGGATCCAAGCAGATGGGGTCGGACGATCGCGCCGCATCGCCGATGCATCGCCGATGCCTCGGCACTGCATCGGCAATGCATCGGCGACGTCGGCGGTGCATCGGCGCTGCCGGCGTTGAGAAAGCTCGCCATCGCGCGGACGTCCATTCCCCATGTTTTTCGGCTTCGTGCGTGCACTTTTGTCGCACGATTCGTATGTTCCGAGAGCACCTCGACGGTCCTCGCCGGGATAAAATGCGCACGTCCGAGCGCTGCCGAGGAACATACCACCTACCTACTAAAATTTGTGATTTTTACCTTGGCGGTTGTCGCAGCAAGCGTGACTGCAAGCGGCTGACGGGATGACCTCTTGAAGCCAGTCTCCCGCAAGAGATCTTGAGGCCTACGCCTTGCCTTGCCCTCGTCCGCGAGTGTTTGACTTCTTCCCAACCATCCTGTGGCGGTGGGTCCTCGTTTTGAAGAGACAGCGCCCCGCGTTCCTTCCTTCCTCCGCCCCCCTCCTCCCATCACAATCGTGATCCCCATCGTCGTCATCATCATCATCATCATCATCATCATCGTCACCGTCATCGTCATTATCGTCATTGCCATCATCACCACCATCACCGTCATCAACATCATCACCGCCATCATCATCATCATCATCATCATCATCATCATCATCATCATCATCATCATCATCAACACCGCAACCGTCAGCACCACCATCATCGTCATCAGCATCGCTGTCATCATCATCGTCAACATCATCATCAGCTTCAGCATCATCATGGCCATCAGCTTCGGCACACCCCTGACATCGTCGTCATCATCATCAGCATCATCATGATTATTACTGTTATGCTTGTTATCATTATTGCGTCATTGTCATCATCATCATCATCATCATCATCATCATCATCATCACCATCATCATCATCATCATCATCATCATCATCATCATCGCAATCAGCTTCGTCACCAGTGGCAGGGCCCGCATGTTTCTCCCCCGCTCCTCATCGGCACACCACTGACAAGTTTTGTGGCCCCACTGGGAGCTCCACCGAAAACGATATTTATAACTGCGGATCTCACAACTGCATACGATCGGGTCCTTCGCCAGGATAGTTTTTTGCTGGCGTCCTTGCGCGTTCTTCACGTCGACAAATCAGAATTATGTTCTTTTAGTCGACTAGTGTCGACTAGTCCTTCCTAGCGCGCGCGCCTCCCTTGAGAGCGCACAGGAATCTACTTCAATCGCGTTCTTCGTTTTTTGGCTACAGAGCCCAACATAAAAAAATCTCCAAGCTTTCTGTCAATCGGGAATTTGTAATAGTCTGTCTTACAAAATTCGAGCGGCTGGTAATGGGGGGTGACCCAAATTGGGGGTGAAGACAAGGCCCTACAGGGGCCCTTCAGGGCCCCTGTGGGGCACCAGCTGGCCCCAAAAGGGGCCCCAAAGGGCTTCTTTGGGGCTCTTTTCTTCACCCCCAAATTGGGTCAGCCCCCTTACCACCCGCCCGAATCTTGTAGGCCCACCCGAAACAATGCGCACGTCCGAGCGCTGCCGAGGAACATATAGCAAGGGCCCGTCCACAAGAAACCCAACCCTGAGACCTCAGGACGTCCATTGGTTCGTGGTGTGGGCACGTCACGCTTTCAATGGCAAAACCATTGGAACCCGAGAAACCCAGGGCACCCTGGAGGCAAGCAGGGTGTTGCTCGGCATGGGTCTCCACTGTAGTTGTCCGTCCTCCGGGGTGAAGGCTCAGCCTTTCGAAAGGGGCTCCGGGCCCCCGCCGTGGAGGCTGGACGGACCCTGCAGGCGGCGGGCCCTGGACTCGGCGCCTGGGGGCTCTCCCCGCGGGGCCGGCTTGTGCCTACCGAGCCACCCCCGGACGGTCCCTGGGGGCCCAGGGACAGCGGAAGGACAAAATATCGCAAGTTATTTGAGCCTTCTGAGAAACAGCGTGCCAACTTGGATCAGATTCCATCGATCTCTGAGTTGCCCCCCACGTTTCATTCAATGTTGGCTTGCATTATTTTGTCCACCGGGACTTGGG